TCACAATCTAGCCAATCAAAACTAGGGAGTTTTCGGAATATTTATCCATTTAAATATAAATTACTGGTGTTATTTGAATTTAAAGTATGATTCATTGACAATATATATATATATATATAATAATATCGTGAAATTCTTTATAATAGCAGTTTACCTGTGTTAGATAATTCAGGTCCACTAGTTGAGTAAGAATGGCTTTCATCCTTTTTATTACTTGAAACTAAAGCTATTTTATCGTCGTCCGAGTTCGATGACGTATCCACCATCATAATTGTGTGAAAGAGTAACGATGCTTAGCAACCTAGCGTCAGAATGGCTAAAAACGGTGTGTACACATATTATAAATATTTGTAATTTTGAGGGGAATTTCCACAACTTCACATACCACTAGTCATCTCGTATTCTAGATGATAAAGCTAAATTGTGAGTGGGTTACCATGATATTACGTTGTAGTGGCCACGTGACAGTCTGCAGCTGGGGTACGTTTTTGTCTAACTAAGAAATGTAGCTCAATCTAGTGTAATATGCAGGCAGGAAAAGTACATATCTGTACCACCTGGATTAACGATAATGATGGTGCAACGTAGAAGCCCCATCCAATAGCACAGCGGTATGTCTGCAGAGTTACAATGCTAGAACCCGGATTTCGATACCCGTGGTGGGCAGAACACAGATAGCCCATTGTGTAGCTTTGTGCTTAACTAAAAACAAACAAAGCGACGTAGAAGGTATATGTATGTATCTATGTGCCATATGCACACAACCGTTTGTTGTAGCATAAAGCCACATGAGCAAAGGTTTCTGTTTAATAAGGTCAGCAAGAACGTAAATATTAACATATATAACGGGAGCAAACGTGAGACACAAAGTTTAACTGTCAGATACGTATCAATCTTTTTTTTTTCTTCTTAAACGGCAACATTTTATTCGGTAAAATATTGTTAATGTCATGCGGTACTTTAAATTGTGAGTTTATATTGTTAGTTACTGGCTAAAGATTTCTTTCAAAAACTAAAGATAACTAGCTAACCTGCGGGCATCAATTTCTTGATGCAGTTTCTATACGTACATTTATGGATGTATATTATTTTAATGATTTCTCGTTTGGTTTGGTTGTTGCTAAGCAATGAACTATCTATGCTCTGCCCACCACGGATATCGAAACTCTATTTTTAGCATCGTAAACCCGCAGACTTACCAATAAGCCCACCATACAGCAGCTGTAAAAATAACTATTATTATGAGAACATGGAGGGATCAAGCCCCTTCATTTTACATTTAGTATGTCTAGTAGTTGATCGTAAAGTGAATACTTGATTTAATTATATGTTAGACATATAAGCATCATTAAAGTTCTGTTAATAGTGGTTTCCATTCGTGCACTGTTTCAAACTCCTCTTTAATCAGCTTTTACATTTCTCTCATGCTCAAAAAACTTTGTAAAACTTGTAAGACTGTTTTTCTTTTCTCAAATTAAATAGCTTAATAGACATCTAGTCCAAATTACAAACAACAAATAACTAAAAAAAAGTAAGAAAAATAACAAGTAAAGCAGACATAGCAATTTTCACATGTTAACCTAAAATTAACAATAAAAAAAATATGTATTCACAAATATACAATTTTCATGAAAACAATTAATGATTACATAAACCATATTTAAAAACATTTATATTATGAATGTTACTTTTGGTTGGATTTATTAGGTTAATCATTTACTATCTTTCCTATAAAAATAACCAATAATGGATTCTCAGAGAATTTTATCGTTATTATACTTTCCAGGAATTTAATTTATGTTGCAGTCAAATTTTTTACATTTTGTTTTATGGTGGAATCTCGTCTTCTTTTGTTAGATAATCCATGTATAAACAACGATTTGCTTTCTCTTTAGTTTGCTAGATAATTCATGTATAAACAACGATTTGCCTTCTCTTTAGTTTGTTAGATAATCCATGTATAAAGCAACGATTTGCCTTCTCTTTAGTTTGTAGATAATCCATGTATAAACAACGATTTGCCTTCTCTTTAGTTTGTTAGATAATTCATGTAAAAGCAATGATTTGCCTTCTCTTTAGTTTGTTAGATAATCCATGTATAAGCAACGATTTGTTTTTTCTTTAGTTTGTTAGATAATCCATGTATAAGCAACGATTTGCCTTCTCTTTAGTTTGCTAGATAATCCATGTATAAGCAACGATTTGTTTTTTTCTTTAGTTTGCTAGATAATCCATGTATAAGCAATGATTTGTTTTTTCTTTAGTTTGTTAGATAATCCATGTATAAGCAATGATTTGTTTTTTCTTTAGTTTGTTAGATAATTCATGTATAAGCAATGGTTTGCCTTCTCTTTAGTTGAGTACCACCTTCCCAGAAAACAAATATTGTATGGTGAGTTGCAATCACTAGGAGATCCCAACAACAACCTTAATAGGTGTACAAAGACATATAGCAGCCAGCAAAATCAATGTGGACAACTGTGAGACATTAATAGCTCAGAAGACTGCTTGGTTTATTTGTTTTCGAATTTTGCACAAAGTTACTCAAAGGCCATTTGCACTAATCGTTTCTAATTTATCAGAAATATATGGGTTATATCACAAAACTGGTATTAATTTAAGTCACATCATTCCAAAAATAGAAATAATTAAATATAGAATTATATTCACTTCAGAGAAAGCTATCAGGAACATTACATTCCCCATGTAAAGTTGCATTTCCTCATGAATTGTTTTTTCTATTTAAACTATATAATATGTTCACTTTCATTGGTCACAACTATACCGTGCATTCCCGAACGGGAAAGCCAAATTCCTTGGGAATGCAGGAATGTAATATTTCGATCCCTGCATTCTTGACTGGCACACAACAGGTTTGTGGTAAGAAGTGTGTATAATAGCATTTCAAATTATACTTTCTTGTTGCTGAAGAGACCTTTTACTCAATACTAACACTCACCAGGATTGATGGGTTATTGGTTGTTTAAGACACAATTTCTGAGGTGTGTAATGACTTACCTGACAGAAAAATGAGATTTAATAGTTATATGCATGTGTGTGATATAGTATCACAACAGGGCTGAAAGGTAGCAATTTAAATACTGTTTAAAAATGTGTATTCGTCCAAATCCAACAAGAAATGACAAAGCTGAAGAAATCTTCAGTGCATACATCAAGGTAACAGACTGCAGAAGCTAATGCACACTGTTTTTTCTTCAAATTGGCTTGTCAAAATAACAAATTACTCTGTGGTTACAACAGAACGTGGAACTTGAACAGTTCTTTACTAACACTTATCAATAAATAAAGTTTGTCCTTCAAGATCATTTAGTGTAGAGCTATTAAAACAGCATTAGTTGTTAAAAAAAACAACTGAAATCTCTAACAGTGAAATATATTAACACAAAACATCTCAGTGAAGTTATCTATATTCTCTTCTTCTTGTATTTACAGCAAAACTACTAAGGCTATCTGCTGCCACTGCTACTGACCAGAGGGAAGGCAGCATCAACCACTCACCATCCATGCTAATGGATTGATTGTCACTTCTGTAATGCACCCACAGGATAAAGTTGGGTGTTGTTAAGCAAAGGGCAACATAAACCTGACTTTTAGCATTGTAAGCAGGCAGACTTACCACTGGGAGGGCACAGCACAATATGCACGAAATATTTTGTGGTATCACATGGATTGGAGCACCCCCCCCCAAATAAATCTGATGAAAAAGCATAATGAGATTATTTTCCAGGTAGAAATAAAAATTAGGCAATCTATAATTAAAAACTAATTACAGCTTTAAAAAAAAAAAAGGACATGTAGGGATGACATAAAAAGTATCCTT